AAATTGCTAAAGCTTGGTTGGGATGTCTTACCGCACCCCCATATAGTCCGGAGCTAGCACTATCAGAATACCGCTTGTTTATGTTTCTGCAAAATTCTCTGAATGGAAAATCGTTCAATCCGCTGAGGGGCTGCAGAAAGCATCTGATTGTGGGAGGGTTTTTCGATTTTAAGTCTGGAACCTTCTATGAAAGTGGGAAACTGGAACCTACAGCAGGATGACGAATCCTTACTGAACAGATTGGAGGAAATATTGTTCGATCAATGGATTTCTCCTTCTAGGAATTTTGATTCAAAGATGAATCAAAAATCGGCGGAAACTTTTCGGACAACCCAATAGGAGTACTTGAAGGAGAAGACCGTCCCGGCCCTTACGTCATCGAGGTCTCAACTCGTTAACCGCTCAGAATGAACCCATGTGAGTAACTTTGGCGTCTTCTCTAAACTGACTCGTAAAATAGAGTAGCTCTTACCAGTTCACCTTCGGCAAGAGCTCCCGCTGCTTGAACAGCTTCTAGTTGCTCTAAAATCTTGCTCATCGCCTCTTCAGTTTGTTGTAGTCGTTCTTGGAGACTGCGGAGTTTTCGTTTGCCTGAAATTGACAGAAACTGTTTACTATCCTAATCAGTCAATGAAGGTAAGCTGTTATGCTGGAGGATTATGTGTAAGACAGTTAAGAGAAGGGACACAAGGAAAAACTTTTCCGTGCTTGGAGGAGTTAGCAGTAACATGCTTTGTTCTGAAGGCTCTTAGTGTGAAATTTTCAAGTTCCCTCGATTTCTTTCTTAGAATCTCTCCGTCGCCGAAGTTGGGTAGACTACGTTTACATAGTTGATTAATCTACTTTTTGCCCTTATACTACTTTTGCAAATAACTGATCGCTCTGAAGGGCTTCCCTGGTCTCAAACTGAGTCTTCTGACATATGTAGCTCTTTCTACTTTAGGAGCATAGCCGAGAATGTATGTAAACTATTCCGTTGCCATCTGCAACCGCATTAGATTGGGTTGAAATTAGCATCACCTAAAAGCACTCAAGACGTGAGCACACAATGAGAGAAGTGCATTTTGCCATCGATCACAGATTGGATACGCCTTGAACCCTTCTTATTGGTTGGTCATCGGGCCGCGAAACAACCGAACCAATGGGAAATTGCAGAGGCTTGTAGAGGCTCCACCTCAAATCTGTGGGTTACCCAGATGTTCACCGCCCTTGGGAGCTTCTGGATTCTCTATTGAAGCAACGGGCATTGACAAGCATAGAAAATACTACACTATACTGACCGATTTTCTTTTTAAGTCGGCTGTTGTACACGTCGTCATCATCAGAGCTTTCATCAGATGAGCCGTAACGAGATCGTCTCTTCCTCTTGCCTTTTGACTGAAAACTGTCAATTTCAAACCGATTAACTTTATCGATGGCTTTAGACCTCACCTTGAATAAAGTGTAAAGGAGGAAGATCACCACTCCTACGGTGTATAGGGGTAGCATCCACGTGAAAGATCCTCGGCCGCTCGACTGTGCTTCAGCCTAAAATTTTTGGAAATCAGGCAACTTAAACAATTTTAAGGGAAGCGCAAAATAGATGAAATGCAAGTTCAACTTAATACGGCGGTTGATTGCCAGTTTAGGCAACAGTCGTGGAGAGGGAGCTTCTTTCCCAAACTCAGCAGACGAGGAAGGAGTAGTAAAGCGAGTAAATATGTGGAGATTACAACTACTGTCGCTAACTAAATAGGAAAGGCAAGTATAGCCCTCGCGGTCACCGCCTGACTGACAACCTGCTTCAAAAGGTTTTATCGTAATCAACCCTTGGTAATTCTTAAAAGGAAGGGGGTAACGTGGATGGGTTATCTATCGTTTATAAAACGGATTGATCGTTTCAAAGCCATGGTGACAAGCCTTACTCACCTGCTGCTGAGCCATCCGCATAGCGGGATGAACATCATGCCGTGACGGACCACCAGGTCGGCCTCCACCAGGGCCACCCATTCCGGGATGAATTGGCGGTCGTGAAGGGACAGCTGGTGGCGGAGGTGGTGATCGACCTAAATAGGATTTTTGCACTTACGGACATCTTTCAACTCAAAGCCCATGATACAACGTCGCTGAAATTTTTATTTGATTACAGATTACTTGTTTATCTGTTTATCAATACGGTCACGTAGATTGTGACATAAAAACTTGCACATACAGGAGGACGGCGCTGTTCGGATGGGGCTCTTTTTACTACATTCAGCTAGCAGTAGCATTCAGCATGAGAGGTGACCTTTATTGAATAGGCAACAAAACCACAAATGTTGAAAGATGGAGTGCCCTGCGCTATTGGTTACGCTAGTATGAGCCACGCATTCTGTTCCTATGTCGTATTGTTCATACGCATGACGCCAATTAGCGCCTTCAGATAAATGTGACCTTCATCATTGCACCTATCCTACCGAGCATGCTTGAAGGAGGAGGAAGTTAGTTGAGCTGGGTGGGTCGAGGACCGGTGATTGTGGGTAAAGGCCGAGGGCCAGCCCATGACCATGTCTAAACATAAACACTGAAGTAAGTTTGTCGGCGATTCATTATTCCACTGAGAACGTGAAGGACCCCTTCGGGCAATTGTTAGGCATCAAGTGATTGGGCTTGATAAACTACAGAAGGGCGGATGTGGTGAAAAGCTTAGTGGCATACTCATCACCCGCATGGGGCCAGAATCGAGTCTCGGTTAGACCAACTCAGCCTCCGTCCTTCCGGGTCAACTGAGTGGTACAAAGCTCGTCTATTAGGACGAAAGCACTCACTCGAAAATCGGCTGGCTACCGCAAGTCATTTTTGAAGCCCCATGAACATTCATAGCACGCTACGATTCCGAGTTCGGATGGGTGGGCGCATACCCAAGAGACGAGACTGAGTAATGCCAAGGACTTGATCTCAGGAGACTGTTAACTCCCAGAAAACACTTGAGTTCCACTGAAAACTACTGGAGTGCTTGAATTCTTGCACATAATGTATCGTGTGCACAATGAATGCCTTGTGTATGCCACTCCTAACTAGCATCGTTAGAGCTGTTTTCCGAGACAAGCCTCGTGCCCATTGTCCGGCTCGCTGAAGATAAAAGCTTTGAATGCCACGATTGAAGTGAGATGTGGCTCGTTTAGTCACAGCATTATCAACTGCTCAGAGCAAGAAATTTCGTTGTGTTTTCAGCAAAAGCACTTTCAAGTTTACAGCGGCATTAACATTTGAGCCGCTTTATGTCGCTGCGAAGGGCACTTTGTTTAGTATTCATCGATTTTCTTAGCTCCTCGAGAGGGATAAACTACGATTTGACGTCAGGATGAATAGAATCCTCTCCCCTCTTACATATTTTTTTCTTCAGACATACCCAGCGTCATCTCCAGCCATTCCCCACGTCATTCCTCCCGTTACACTAGCAACAGCTACTTTCTAAAACGTGATTTTGAAAAGGACCGAGAACCGTCATTGACCAGTTGTCCGGGATGAGCCATGTATTATACTGCTACGCAAAACTGCAGTACACTGTGATTGCGTACTACATGGCTTGTCAGTATGGTTATAGGGAATGACGAGTACATATCGTACCCTTATAAATATATCATTCGGACGGAGCTGATGTAGTGTCAAAAGGCGTACTATCCCACACGCATGGCCACGGGATCGAATTCCGGATCGATATCCGCCTAAGCCAACCAAACCTTTCATCCCTCCGGGGTCGCTTAATTGGTACAAGACTCGTCTGGGAGGATAAAAGTACTGATTGTACATCGGTTGGCCAAGTCGTTGTACAGGCCACATACGTATTCAATACGCCACTATGAATCCAAATGGAAGTCGCAATCCAGAGAGGCAGAAACATACGTAAGAGTACGGCAACAATGGATGAGAGTAACAAGTGAAAACGACTGATAATGAATACTCCCAAAGTGAGGAAACTTGATCAACACTGATGTTATCACTTTACCGTAATTACTTCAGCTTATCACTAGCTGCAAACATTACGATAAGTCAGAAAGAATCCTTGGTGTAGGTCAGCAAAGCTGTCAGACACGAAGGGTAGCTCGGTCTTTTTTTTAAGAAGAACGATCAATTGGTCGCAAAGGAATGTAAGCTGGAAGTTGACGTATGGCATGCTTGACGCGCTTGGATTTATTTGAAGCATTGTCCTTTGGGAATTAGCTCGAAGAGGGATTGTTAGGCTTTTTGCGAAACAGACGTGTGGGATTTTTTGGAGTGCATCCATGGGGAAGGTTAAATTCGAACTGTTACCCTACATAATTCTCAAAGAGCAGGACTGGACCATTTTGATCAATTTCTGACAACACTTGAAACAAAGCCATTAAGAGAGCGTGAGCAACCCTGATCGGTCTCGATATTGGAAGGGATGGACAGCGCTGAGCTCGCAAGGCACTACAACGGGTTCGAGCCCCATCCAAACCTGAAATTTTGCCAGTAGCTCGCCATCTTTGAGAGCTTCGAGACAAAATTCATTTCATACTGCATACGTTTTTCGAGAATACTGAATATCCTGACATTCGTCATATATCAATTAATTCATCGCCATGCCAAGAAAGTCTCCAGGCCGTAAGCACCGATCACCAAGCCCCTTCTTTACCACCTTTACCTACGGGACTCTACACGTCGTCTCCCTTTTCATATGTGCAACTTTTTCATCGTGCATATACTTCGTCGACATTCACGAATCATTCAATGTGCCCGCTGTTTCCCAAGACACACTTCGCGCTTAGCCCAGAGTCGAAGGGCATTCCCTTTTGCACTTTTGAAGTCGATGAATTTGCCTAGGAAGAGGAGAAATCCGCTAGCAAATTTGATATAATTACCAAATATCACGTCATATCGACCCTCTCCTCCCATGGTGGACTATGCCTTTACAAGGACACGGTAATGTAGTGGCAAGAAGTTTTGCTAGCTCTTAATCAATCCATGGATTGAATATATCAAGTGAAGGCTTTAATCCTTGAATCAATCATTCAAATTTCCGTTAGAGAGAAAAAAATAACATTTGTTCCAGCGTCTCCATAATATCCGCGTGATAAGAAGGTCCGGCTTCCTCATCCCCTACAATTCGAAAGCAATGTGAAGGAATTCAGAAGCAAGGCAAAGACGGTGCGCATCCTATCGGTATCGCCCTTTCCACCGCTCTTTCCAATATTCTCGATTTTTCGTGATTTGAGTAACCCCTAAAAGGGTCATTGAATTACTCAGGGAAGGATAACTAGTGGAATACCGTTGTAACAGAGGAGTTATGTAGTATTCAGAGCAGAACCTTAAACCTTCCCACGATTGATCACCGGCGCACAAAATGTTCTTGCAATTTAAATGCACGTATTCGGAACCATAACGTATGCCTTATTACATCTATTATTCATTGGTTTTTATTTAATTCATTGTCCGTTCCTAATATAACTGCAGCAATCAATATGCAGGCTCCAACGATTTCCACAAGTCTGTAAAACGTTGAAAGAAAGGCGATACTGCATTAACTTCTGACAACATTCCAAAAGCGGAGACTTCGATGGCGACCGTTGGGAGGTTGGAATGGTGTCGTCCTCGAAGGGGAGTAGGAGAGGGGGGNGGGGGGGGGGAGCGAAGACAGCGAAAGGAAGCGTCAGAGCTTTTTTATAGGCAGGATTCAGTGAAACATCGGATGAAAGGTGATAACTGTGAGAGTAAGACTATTCTGATAGATTTTTCTCGGAACCTACGCCATGCAGCTTGACTAACATTTAAAATCGTAGCCATTTCATGATTGGTCTAGTCTATACAGAGCATGGGGCACAGTGCTTCAACCGCGCCTGAATCTTTTTCTTTTTTGCACATTTCGCAAGCAAGAATCCTATCAAACATGGCCCTAACGATGTTGGAACTCTGATTGACCAAGCCTCTGAGGATTTTCCTCGCAGAACGTGAGTTTTAGAATCGGAGGGACAACCAAGTATGTTAATTCTCTGGTTGAATCCAATTATTGGGAAATAGCATAGATTTTAGGCAAGTTCGAAGGTTTAGAAACAGTAGTTTTTATAAAGAGTTCGCTTCTTCCTGAAGGAATCCTCACGAACTAATCGTTCTCAGATTCTGGCTCATTAAACCACATTAAAGGAAGATTAGATAAGTTGCCTTCCTAGAGACACGCTCATCGTCAAACTCAGCTGCCGTTTACACAATCCTTTGAGAATCCCATCTACTTCCGGGGCAGGGAAGACGCTCAGCGTTTTCCTATCGAAAAGCTGAGGTCAGGACTTTGGGGGAAAATTATGCTGATCGTCTTTGTGAACAAATCTAGGAAAATCAATCAAAAAAGGGGACTTCAAATCAAGAAAAACCTGGGATTCTTTGAAGGTACTGTATATAATGTTATATAGAATTTCGAGGAAACCAAGGATTTTCTCTAATTTTTTTCAAGATTTTTAAGAATTTCTACACTTGTCCAGTTTTTTTTTNTTTTTTTTTGATGAATATAAGAGCTGAGGGATGGATCGTGGAGCCATGTTACATGCCCTATTCCTATCAATAACCAATCAACATTTAGATTTTCTTAATTATATTGATTTTCTAAGTTTAAGCAATGTTCATGACATCATCTGTGAGGCTAAACAAACAAATGGAACATGCCTTTCGACACACAGACACCTACGCGCCGTAGATATTCGAGGACCGGGCTATTAAAGTGTCATGAAAATGTAGTCAAGAAAGATGGATAGCTGATGAGAATATAAAAAATCTTACAATGTTTTAAACATGAGGTGCAGAAGAGTGACATTCACGCTGGCAAAGCAAATTCGGCAACAATTAGAATTGAAAGTAAAAAAGAAACGAATTTCCACAGAGAAACATTGAATTGTAGAAAAAACTCACCCAATAGGCTCATGAGCATTGGATGAATTAGTGTTGGATAGAGCATAGCAAAACAAATGACAATTACACCCACAACCAAACCAAGTTTCCATCCTGAAACGTTTTGGACGAGTTTTACAGCATTCCTTCGCAAATTGAAAATTCAATTTCCATACAAAACAACCTGTGAAAACGCTGTCGTCATCTTCGCTATCGGAACGGCGTCGCCGACGTTTTCTCTCCCGTTCTCGCCCGTGAACAGGCATTCTGAAGAGGAATAGTTCTAGTTTTGAGGCAATGCTATAATGATCATTCAACGTAGAACGCCCCGCCCACGCATGGGAAACCCCACCCCTTACCTATTGGAGGAAAGGAAATGATCAGTGAAGGAACAAATTAAGCGAAGAGTTTCACCCTTATCGTGAATTATTAAGCTCTTTTCCCACCCTTCCTATTAATTTAGAGAAGTCTATTGACTCGTAAGAGCAACCAGATATGTCCCGAGTTCCTGGAACGAATTAGGATGCTGGGCTACTTGAGTAGATTAAAGTGAGAAGAGGTTTTTTGCTACGTTGAGCGCTCCTCTTCACGTGACTATGATTAATTTACAGACGTCACTATAAAAATGATGCTTAGCTGTTGATTTTATTCCGGTTTTCTGTTAGCAACCACTTCACTAGCGTAGTCGTGCGAAAAAAACAGTCAAATAATCAGATATTCTATTTAAAAAGTAGGCAATAAGAGAGTTCCCAAATAGGAAAGAATGGGCGACTGCGGGTAGCCGTTTGGCAACAAGGTAATGGACACAGAGGTGAGTAATAGGGATGGCTGGGAGGACCCCACTGAGTGAGAGGGTCGAGACGGGGTGCGCCAACAACAGATCGATCGCGCCGTCGGTCCAGGGCCCAGGAGTAGTGATGTTGGGCGGACGGCGGCAGCTCGTCTAGCTCTCGGGAAGACCTAGAGAACCCTCCCATCGTTGTCGCGCCATCGCATTGATTTCGCCGCCATTATGCTGCACTCAATTCCCATGCGGTATCACCAGTTTATCCCATAACTCATGTTCTATGAATGTGTAAATATATTACCTTCTTTCTTGATATGTATTGAACTAGAGCCGCTGGGTACTTGTAGAAACATCTTGACGGCATCATTCAAGCTTCCCTGTAGTGCTCTCTGATAAGACTCTGGTATAACGATTGAAAGGATGTAAAGGATTTCGGGGAATTCAATTTTCATTTTATCAATGCGGTGAGCCTTTACCTACTCTCCTCATTTTTCGTCCCTCTTTGCTCTGAAATGGAAAGATTTTTACAAAGATCCCAACATTCGGAAGAAATTTCCAAACGGAGGGATTGTCAGGAAGGCAGCGTGCGATAGGCGTTAGGTCATGGTCAGCGTAATCGCCGAACAAATCTATAGGTTGAGGCATACGGAACTTGGAATTCAGCGAATTCAATAAGCGAATCAGATCTTACTGGTTGCTCTCTCTGGCCGACCTNTCTTCCTCTACCTTTCTAGTTCATTCATTCCAACCCATTGTGATTCTGTCGAGCAGTCTTGCTGACTTTGACATTGTGGTGATGGCAGGATTTAATAGAAGTTTAGGGCATGGCGCAACCCTTGACAGAATGTCCTTTAGGAAGAAAGTCAGTTAAATTTAACCGAACACTTGCAAGAGATGGCAGGTTCGCTTTTTTTTAGAACTTGGGCTAGTTGGGAAGTGCTGTGTACTGCTGAGTAGTGCAGGTTTGCTATATTGGAATCGCTTTGTCAAGTCGACGTTTCGGACCAGTTGTTGTTTTGAAGGGCCTGAAAGTGATTCCTGGAGGAGCTCCTGATCTCTCCGGTCATACGCCCACTTGGGAGCGTTGTTTATTTGAAGCTGAACAAGCGAAAGTAGTTCCCAATGAACTCCCGCCGTTTTTTCCCTTCCCTTGACTATGAGACCGCATATCACTATCGTAATCTGCTATCAGAAAGGTCTTATTCGTCCTTAGTGCACTTAACCAGGTTGGAACGTCAGCGTTCGTGGGACATCAGAGGATAATTCCTCGGCCAGAATCGCCTAGGCTTGAGTTTCTGGAAACTGTCGCTACTACTGTTTTAGTGCTCTTGGGCATTTGACCAGGTGAGCTTCAGATGGGGAGGTCCCAACCGCTTTGAGGTACTCGACGGCAACGGTTCCTTTAAAACATCCACCTTCCACTGTAACAAATCTGTACGGCATAGTAGTACCATGGGCTCCCTGTCTAAAGCCCTGTTAACGGAGAAAGCTACGACCTTCCGACATCGTTTCCCCTTAACATTCAAATGTCACGGGCTGAAAAATGAGTCTGCCCCGGTTATGTCTTTTCCCATAAATTCCAAGTTTAATCGTTCTAATGGGTAGGTGTTAATGAGGAATGGGTGATGCCTCGCCCACATGCAAAGCGTTTTGGATCCCGTGCTGCTGTTAGGGTAGGGTTGTTCCCGCTCTGCAGAGTTTCCTCTCCCCCATCACAAGCTTGATGGAAATGTTTTGCCTCGATTCTGGTTATGTGCATAGAAGGTTTTCTTGTGTGCAAAGAAGTGTTTTTCGAGCAATTCCCATCCAGGCTTCCGATGTGTAATCGACTTCGACTACCTCCCTTAGTTACGAGAGCACGTCACTTCTAATGATGGCATTCCGCTTGACTGTGTCAGTTTATTCATTAGGAGAATGCAGGCTTCCATTTGCTTTCACCATTGTCAGCCAGTCAGCAGTATCCGCCCGGCTTTTTGGCCGCCTTTCCCAGTAATCAGTGTAATCGATTCTATTATCATGATGTTTTTATATGGGTGTGAAGTTCGCTCACAAATAGTTATCGCTGTCGTTCGACCTTGTTCAGCCCAGACTGGTTACTGTTATCCGTTCCAATTCGTGTTGTTTGTTTGCTCATGAAGGTCGCCTCACGAACCTCTTAGTAATCCCCTTCCAACTCATTCAAATCGTTAAAACTTATCGCCTTTTTTCGAGCAAGAGGGAGGAGATCCGACCCACCTCAGCCGTCTGGCGAGTTTTAATTGTCAGCAAGCCGTGAATGCCGTTAATCGCTCGCGTCTTTCTTTAACGATGGGCACTTACATTCTAATTATGTTTGACTATGAGACATTCCCTAAGATTTTATCCCTCCCATCTGATATAACGTTTCCATCATATACCTCAGAATTTGTCCGTGAGGACTCATAGGGCAGACTTGGTACAGTGGCAGTAGGCACACTACCACACAGTCGTGAACGTGGATTGAATCCCGGCTCGATACTTGCCCAGTCCGACCGAGCTTTCCATCCCTACACGGTGATTACTGGTCCAGACTCTCAACGTACATGAGCCTGGCCCCCGCAAGTCATTGCAGAGGCTACACACGCAGTCAATGCGCCATTACGATCCTAGATAGAATTTGAATGCGGGGCGCATTCCAGAAACGGGATTGATTAAGGCCAATTGACTATGAGTATTCTGTGAGACATGATTCCATCTTTCAAAATGACTAATTTCTGAGTGTGTGTCGCGGCGTAACAAAAACGGTGGCACCAAAATCGTTAAGATATTGGCCTATGCTACATGCAGGTAGCTTGATGTTCACTGAGCACTAACAGGTGTTCTGCTTTCATCCTTCAGCANNTTTTTTTTTTGCAAGCAAAGATTACAAGTATTATAAAATACTGGAGATTTCTGTACTCTAAAGGTCCTTATTGTGCTGTTCAGCACTTATTTATATGTACTTTTTGTGCGCAAGTGAGACCTAGTCTCTAAAAACTCCGCTCGGCTAGAGTTTCATTCGGCAAGTTACTAATTGTAAGAGTTCCTCTTAGTGTTACGGCTGCTACTTCTCAATTTTTACTTTACTTTTTACTTTTACCTTGGTTCAAAGGTATATCCGTTGTTTTTGAGTATTATTCTGGAAGGGGCACTCAGCAGGACCAGATGTAGGAGAGGCATTTTCGCTGAAGGAGACATTTGGGTGGCACACTTTAGCTGGAAAAAGTTTGATCGTACAAAGAATGCAAAGTGTGCTCGTAATATAGCTATAAACAGATAGAATAACAGGTTTCATGGAAAAACGTTTCGAGGAAGCCCTTTTGCGTCACACTTCGCCCTGGCAACAACATTTAAATAAGGCTCGCGATTACGGTAAGCTTAATTTGTATGTAATTACACAATATTACCCTGGCCGTTGTAAATAATCTTCCAACCCACGTCGCGTCCAAGTTATTAATAGCAATAGTTCGAGCATGTGGATGTGTTTTTGTATAGTATTTATGATTTTTATTATATTTGTAATCAAAACAGTCGCCCATATGCTATCTGACAGTGTAACTTTATGATAGAGGTCGTTAAACGGAATGTTTGTGGCGGCCGTCACAGCCACTAAACAAAAGTTCCATATGTATTGATAAGCCGTTCTCCGTTCCCGTATGCCCTCTGCTATTTTCGTTTTATTTTATTTCTCTGTAAGCTATAAAGCTGCTGTTTCTTGTTGTTTAAAATCAACTGGTAATCTGGTTATTTATCATACGGCAGTACACTGTCCGTTGTTTTTCGTTAGGGGAAATTTGTGATATTAATCTTTCAACCTTTCGATGTTATTCACCCGGTCATCTGACTTACATGCCCGCAGAATTTCGTCCCTTCATCCGCATTCATTGCTGGAGGGTAAGCTTCCCGCTTTTCATCTGAGTTTTTTCAACATCCTGCCAACTTGCCATGCCACATTTACCCCACTGAGTCAGCCACAATGGACCAGCTGGTGTGCATGTGGCCGTTACGGGCGGATTTCATCGTGCTTATGTCGATATCAATATACAATCCTACTTTAATTCGGTTACTCTTGAAAGCTTACTGTAAAACACGGTGTTTTAGTAGGGGTCTCACCCAATTTGCTCCCTACAGTGTACCCATTCAACAGCTCCTACTAACCTGTTCTTTTGCACTGTCATTAGTATGAGCTGCCTGGGTCATAAAGTCGGAGTGACCCTGCCTTATCGGTTCCCCCTCACTGTTCGTCATTCTCAACCTCAACATCGTCCTGCACAGCTACTCTCATACCATACCCCATGTCGTTACCTGGGATTGTTTGAAAGGTTTTATTTCGCAGATTCGTTAAGTTTTCTCGAAGCGCAACTTGTTATAGACTGCCCTATTTTGGTTGCTCTCATATGATGATGCTGATTTCGACAAAATTATCTTTTATCACTTGAAATAGACAAAGGGCACTTGCTAGTTTCGCTGGGGAAAACGTCAGTCTTGGAATTTACTGTAGGCACTTTCTGTTACAAATCTATGTATAAAACAGAGCTCGCAGAATTTCCTTCGAATTACTACGCTATAAAAACGATTTTCAATAAGCCGTTTATGGTAATTAGCGTTATTCTTGCGAGGATCGTAAATGGACTCCCCAGTAATAAATGTGTCCTCAACTACTGTGAAGAAAGGAGAAAATAACGAGGCCTGACAATCTGCGGTTTCATCCGGTTTGATGNAGAGCTCGCAGAATTTCCTTCGAATTACTACGCTATAAAAACGATTTTCAATAAGCCGTTTATGGTAATTAGCGTTATTCTTGCGAGGATCTAAATGAACTCTTCAGTAATAAAGGTGTCCTCAACTACTGTGAAGAAAGGAGACAATAACGAGGCTGGACAGTCTGCGATTTCATTCGGTTTGATGCGATCTCCTTAATCCTAATCTGGTTAAGAGCTCAAATCAGAAGGCGTAGGGTGTGGAAAGGGGAGGTGATACTAGAATGTACCCTCGAAGTTATTTGTTATCTTATGGCTAAAACGTGACTGTGCAGATCTATAGCGGAAAAGGACACAACGACTGCCTTCGATAAGTGTGACATTTTTGATACGAAACCACCGTCACCAGAATGACCGCTATATTTATGCAGCTGGCTCGGGTACGTGGTTCAGGTGCACTCAAATTCGTGGGCGTAAGTGTGTGAAGTTATATTTTATCTGTACTAGGTTAGTTATCAGTTCGGAGCTATCCTTATTTATTCAACTACTTAGTAAATTTGCACTACATTTGTTTAATTGAATTAATTGTCGGATTCTGAATTTTATTTATTTTCACATTTTTTTTTCATTTTGAACTTTCATCGTGTTCGTTACAAAGATGCAGCCCAGTTCACTATTTTTCAGTAGTTCTCATTATGCATGAAGTGTGAATATGTAATGCGGGCACGATATCGGGGCATATTTAAAAACCTGAGCCGACGGCTCAAGGCCAGCGATGACAACGCAAAGTGGTGCTCATCTGAATCGATAAACATGCTGAATCAAAGCAGATGATTGCGAAATCGTCGACTATAAACTTTGCTTCACCTTCACTATGTTCAAATAATCTGACAGCCTTCTCAGTGTGAAAAATAATTCCATGTTCCACTCCCTTGCAAGTTTCGTTATTATTTTTATTCCAAGAAAGGATAAAACTAAGTGTCTTGTCATAATCAATCTCGGTTTTGTGATAGTCTTTTGCGTTCATCAATCACGTTTTTGTGATGCGCCCCGCATTCAATTTTCAATCAGAATCGTAGTGGCATTTTGAATGCGAATGTGCCTTGTACAATGAATTACGGTGGCCAGCCGATGTACTCGTTAGAGCTTTTATCCTTCCAAATGAGTCTGGTACCAACTAAACGGCCCGCAAGGGAGAAGACCTTATTGGTCTGTGCGAATCTCATCCTCGGACCATATATGTGTGATGGTGTGCCACTTGCCACTACACTACCTCTGCCCTTTGCCCTCTTAAAGTCCTCTAACTGTAGCCTGCTCTCTTGCCAAATCCAGAAGTTTTCTGGCCTGAAGCTTTTCGTGAAATGATCCGTCGTTACTAATTTATAATAACTAGCAGAAGTGCTCCTATCGACGATGTACAATTATTGCGCAAATTGATCTCAAAAGATTTTGTATAGTTCCAGCGTATGTGCCGCATGAGTTATGGTGGAAATAACGCCTAACAAAGAAAACAAGTAATATTGCTAAGAATGTTTTTCCTTGGCTAATCATGCATGCATGCATGTATTATCGGTGAGACAGTGTCTCTAGCGTGTTTCCTGTTTGTTGTCTTTTCTCCTCTTTAGATCGATGAGAGCGGCTGCACCTCTGGCGCTGCAGAACAGCTGAGTTCCCCACCTTGCATGAGCGGCCCATTTTCAATTCTAACGAGTGGCGCAGTCTGTTAAGTACCGATTTCTGAATATTTATATGCACCCTTATATCGTTAGAATCTAGAAGTTAAAATTCGCTTCAGGCCCTTTTTGTATTGAAACCTTGGGCTTTTCTGAAATTTTTGTTGCTGAATTGTTTTGTTTCCCCTAATTTCAGGCAATCTTAAGCATGACACATATGTGTATGAGTCAATGATCAACAAAACTATTGTCACATTTCGAAAGAAATATTTGCTTTTTGCGCTTTTTTATCGCTTCCAACGGTTAGCGGAGGTGTGCTAGCGATAAATCGCTGTTTGTTTTCGGGAAAAATCCATCAGTGTTTCATCGGGTGTTTCGGGAGGAGCTGATATATTCTTCAGGTGAGTAGTGTTCGTTTATTTATCCGCATGTTCATTCGTTTACAACTTTCGTATACGAGGTGTGTGGTACGCTGGGGTTGTCGCTAGCATTCCGGTATTTAACCGCCTTGGACTATGCGTGTGGTGTTCATTTGATCTTTGATGTTCTGGCAAACATTAGTACGCCCAGATCTTTGTTCATGGGCAAGGTTGGGAATTTGATTCTCCACTTGCACTCTGCAACATGAGTGGCGATCCCTTTTGGTAAGCTGATGATAGTAAGCTATAGAGTTTCCAGAAAAATCTTAAAATTGAGTGTTCTCTGAAGCATAACTCGTTAGTCAAGCAATTCAAAACGGGAATCGATATTGCCGCTAAATTTGCCAATTTTTATTGTCGTATCCAATATACTCCCATTGAACTCTTGAACTAATTACTTACACAATTGCCTCCAATTTCATGCCATACACCCAATAGCAGTGGTCTAAACATATTATTCCTTGTCTCACATTGCCATAAAAAGTTCTTTATATCTTTCCCTTTTTTTTGAAACCCCTTCATTTGGCTCGATATGACAACGATGTGGTTCTATTGATTGGAATGCTAGCCATTCCTTTGTGAAAAGCTTATAAATATTGCACTTTTTTATTTTTAATTTTTTTTTATTTGTTCATTAAATTAATTTTACAGACGTGTGCTGTGGTATTTCACAGGGAACTGAGATTATTTGCTGTTTCATGCACTATTGTTTATTTGTCAAGTTCTATCCTATCACATGGTGATGGGGTACGATTGAATTACCTGAGGTGCCCCAGCGAAGATATGAATTGTGGGCAGTGTGTGAATATAATTTTTAACCTAAGTCATACGTTATGCGAAGCCAATTTTTTTATTTGCTTTCTAGATAGTTTTCAATTGTTGAGCGAATTTCAGAATGTGACTGTTGCCTGATTGCGAACGAAATAATGTTGTTTAACGACGCGTTACTGCTAGTCTTCTTAGTCACGAGGGTCATGTGTGACTGATCATCATTCTCTCGCCCTCGATCGGGTAGAGATAGATGGGCAGTGCTGCCCCGGGAGTTTTGGAACGCCGGATATTATTCTGGTTTTCAAGAGCATGGGTGCTCGTGTTTGGGAATATAAGCATGCTATCCTTTGTGTAGATAATAGCATTTTCGGTTGGTGTTTTGCTCCTCTTTGATATTCTTCTTTAGCTTCGACTGTTTCTTCAATTCGCAAGTTTTTCTTCATTGATTCGCACATTTTGCACTATTTGGGCATTGCTTTTTTGTTGTTTCCATAAATTCGACGCAGGCAGTTTAGCACTTGCAGTTTAGAGACATTTTCCTCTCTGAATATTATGCTATGAATCCATTGACGTTTATTTGCCGTTCGTATGGGTAAGGAAACCTCTCATGCCATTGCTTAACAGCTGTTCTTTTGAGGTGATGGCTGAAGTTGGGACCGACGACCAGCTTCGACAACGCCGAAATCAAGGTCAAGCAGAAGATGTGCGACCGACTAGCGATGAAAGTGATATGGATGCCATTCCTCAGGATGAGGAGAGGTATGTCTGTGTTCCTTCATGTCCCATTTTATGTTACTACAGCGAAGTAATTATAACTACGTTTAGGAGAAGTTACTCCAGAATTGTATCAGCACTGCGCGGGTGTTAGGCTCGCAAAATCAAAAAGGTTATTGGGCTATCATGGTTCACGCCAGCTTTTGAGGCAGAGTATAGGCGCCATTCTGACCACCGCTCGCTCAAATATCTCACAGGGCTCATTAGACTGCTTTGTAATTTTGAAGTTCATAGGAGGAGGTCCGAGCTCCCTATGGTTCAATTACAAACTCTGAATCAAATCCCTTTTAATTTGGCAGGACCCTTCCATTCCGTATGGGCCCACTATGCTTTCGTTCTTCATTCAAATGTCATTTAATATCCAAGTGTCGTTAACATTGTGGATGAGAGTTAAGTGTGCGGCGTATCCAGAAATGAACAGAGAAATACAGGGCCTTCAAGCGCTCCATCTTGATCTGTAGCTTATAGCTTTTTTCTACATTTCTTTTTCTTTTTTCATCGCTACAGCAATTTTTCAGCGATGCGGCCACGAAGAAATCCGCCCAGCGTAGCTCGTTAGTTGATAAGTTATTTTCGTGGTGGTGTATGTAACCCTACTCAGAATGTGTGGTTAACTTTGTGTTTCGTTGGGTTCAGGGTTCACATTAGAGGATTTCTTACATCTCTGCACGTTTTTGCTTGCTCCCTAGTCCTATGTTCAATTTAATCCTAATTCGTTTACAAAAGTCACTTTAGAATCGCCGGACTGATGAAAATCATTCCTCAAGACACTGGAAGCATGGGTGAATTGGTAGATTCAGTGCTTACTCCATTACCTCCCAGGTAACTGTTCCGTATGTTTCCAGTTATTCCTGTTTCCTTAGTTGCGTTTTTAGATGGAGAAATTGGGTTGTACGTGGTGTCTTCACAATAATTATGGTATCAATGTTTTCGTTCATTGTGAGTCGAGGGCCGACATGGCTGATGGCATTGGTGAGTTTTTCTTGATCTTTGAGGTTTCGTGTAATCATAACAACATTTGAAGGTGTTTGCGATACAATTTAAATGCTTCCACGAAATCATCAGTATTGGGCTGGCTGTTTATCGAATGTATGATTTCCCATGGTTCCGTTTGCTGTCGTGGTTAGTTCTATTTCCATAATATTTGGGCGGTTTTGTTATTTGAAGTTATTTTTCCTTCGACTTCATTTGTTTTCTGGTCGTTTTTTGTTATCGCTCTGATTTTGGTAGCCATCTTGGGTATAATGAAATCGGCGGTAATGAAACATGTTGGGGCGGGCGCCATTGAATTTCTGTGAATCCTACCAGGAATTTTGCAAAAATTATTCGATTAAAGGTCGAGGCTTTATGTCCTACCCCGCTCCTACTCGAACATGTTCTTCGAGGTTTTGGTTCTACTAGAAAAAATACTGTTCTTCACCTTTTAGGTATTTTCTCGTGACGAGTAACTACTTCATTTTCGGAGAAAGTCTAATCGATTATTGGGCGATTTTGCTGCGAAAAGACGTAAGTCTCTATATCGTTTGTATACTATTCTTTCCTTCCTATGTGATTCTTATTTAATATTAATAATTTCAGAACTTTTTGCATTTTCTCAACAGTTATCATAGACTTATCAGTTTTGGTCTGTACTGTGTCGGTTTTGTATGGTTCGTTCTTTCGCTAAAGAAGGGCTATTATATGCGTCAGTTCTCTCTGGTGGGATCTTGATTTGTTAAAGGAATTGTGGTAACTTTATTTCGACACCCCAGTTTGCTTACTGTTTACATCGTTCCAGTTCGCTTGGACTCACATCACACTGTTGTTGATCGTCTGTCAATCGTTCTTCATTATCCAGAACATTTTCCAAGGGACCATATGGTATTTCATGTGTTTTTTGATGTTCTCTTACAACTCAAATTCACATAATTTTAGGTTCCTTGTCCCGGTGGCGATGATTATTTGCTGTGATGTCATGTCGTACATGTTCGGTTTCTTTTTTGGAAAGACTCCTCTCATCAAATTGTCACCAAAGAAGACATGGGAAGGATTCATTGGTGGAGCTGTTAGCACCGTCATATTCGGGATTTTGGTAAGTAGTGGCGCCACACTTCATTAGTACGAAATGTGGTGTCAAAGCTTGACTGGGTACATATTGCTCGCGTCATCTATGAATGTACAGCTAAAATTGCCTTTTTGCGAACACGGGGGCGTTAATTAAGATTGAAGACGTAATGGACACCAATTAGGGCTTTTTGTTCTATTGGGCAGTATTTCTCGGTTGTTTTCGAGTCAAACCATCTCTATTAAGCTCTCCTACTCTCTGTACAATCGCCCATTCTTTGTTTGTCCAGTTGAAGACTACTACATTGATAATACAAACTGCACTATTCCGTCATCGTTCCAACTGCAGCCTTACTCCCTACCACGGCCACTTTCATGGATTTTCAAGATTCTTAGGTAAGTGGTCCTAATTTGATGATCTAACCCTCTGAATTTTTTCAATTTGTTTTGATTTAGGCCGTTTTCTGATTACAGACGTGATCCGCACGTGTATTTATTCCCGTTTCTCGGTCACGCCGTGGTGATGGCGTTATTCGCTAGTTTGCTCGGTCCCTTTGGAGGATTCTTTGCCAGTGGGTTCAAGAGAGCCTTCAAAATCAAGGTGAGAAAAGTTGCGGTAGTAGGATAAGCTTTGTCTCGAACGGTGGAACACATGGTATTGTTGATTTAGTTTTTTGTGTTTACACTACGTTCACATGTGTTTTACATGTCTTTTAATAAATAAATAAGTTTGCCTGGAGCAGTAGGGAAGAAGTATTTTATGACTCAAACTGCCCTTCTCTGAATGGAAGAGTAGCATTTCTGTGACAGGAGCACGACTTTTTTTTTATTCAGGACTTTGGCGATGTAATTCCTGGTCACGGAGGACTTATGGATCGATTCGATTGCCAGCTACTTATGGGTACCTTTGTCAGCGTATATATCCACACGTTCATCAGGTTGGCTGTAATCGTTCTCCCCATAACTATATTGTGCTTCAATCCTACTTTCTAGAGTCCCAAATCCTGCCAAGTTGGTCACTCAAATTTTGTGGCTGCAACCAGAAGATCAGATAACGGTGTTCAATTCATTAAAACATGAGCTTATTCAGTCTGGATTGTTGCAGCCATCTTGAGAGTAAGGTCTAAGTTAACTTGCCATAGATCTCGTCCGCGTTACTCTAGTAAGTCTTGTATGATTTATGTTTGTAATTGTGTTGAGTCGTATTTCGATATTTTCTCGAATTTTAAAATAAGCGCTTGAATGCAGCTCCATATGAATAGGATAGTTTGATTATTTGGAACAAATGTTTCCCTTCTGGAAATTTTCAGTTTTCGATTTGTCGTAGACACATAGATGAAATTTCAGACCGAGTTTCGATTTTCTTTGCAGTAGGCGCTTTAATCAGGTTCGGTTTTATTCAACTTTTTGTGCTGTATCTCCGTCTTGTCATTATTTTTCTCTTTGTAACTTTTTTTTACTATAGATTGTATTAACGTCCTGGTTGTTGTCAGATCAGTTTAGTTTAGTAGACTTTGTTTTCCTGTGATGATGGTAATGATGATGTTTTTTTGTTGTACATATAAAATAAGTTATAAAAGGACGCCTAGTCTTCGCGACAATGAATTTTTCGCAGCATTTCTTCCGTTTTGTGAAACAGTTTCAAGTGTACACAACTACTGGTCTCTGAGACGTCAAAAAAGTGCTTATAATTTAGTTTCTAGGGTTACTATGAGCTTAAATGAAGCACAAGGATATCTTGATCAGGTATGTGCGATATTTTCGCTGAAGCTATCCTTTTTTGCGATACTGACTCCAGTGTACAAAAGAGGTGTGTTATGTCTAATCAGATTTGCTTCTCTGGGTCTCTGTACTTTTCTGATAGTTTGGTTTATTGCCCACTGTCAAGTATACCGCGAACTTTTAAGGTAGTTCGCAACTTTTATAGTAGTTTGTGATGATGAAACGGTATTGCACGATTTGTGGCAGTTTAGCAATCCAGTCGGAAACGCCTTATATTGCAAAACGCAGAGAGGATTTCCACAGTTTTACTGAAAGATCCAAAAATGGGGGGGGGGGGGGGGGGGGGGCTCATGAGCATAGCCCTTCCTGGTCGCGTGGGTCGCCGACCGCCAATCTCAAAAATACTCACAACACACACAATGCCGTTTCCAAACACAAGGCATGGCTAAGCATGATCAGCAAAGGCGTTTGTTTGGTCTGAAGGGCACAAACCATTGTGTTACCCAGAACTAGCTCAGAGAGGCTGCAGGCTTTTTCCCATCAGTTTTACCGTAGTAAAGCTTTTTACGCGTTCCTATGGAATCAATCAACCCGCTGAGTATTGCAGCTCCGACTTTTTGTGGATAACCATCGGCTGCTTCATTCGTTCTTTTTCAAAACATATTTTGGAAAAACTAAAAGAGCTCAGGAAGTCTTGTTTTAGACTCAGCGTATCTCTCGGCTAAACAGCTTCGACTTTATATGGAGATAAAGTTGTTTTTAGCTTTGAGCACCCCTTAAAAACTAGTCCTTCGCTGTGATAAAACCATTTGGGATCACTCCACTATTTAGATTGCATTAATTGATCAGCAGTTGTCAGCAAATGAAGGATTAGAACAGCGCGAATCACTCTTGGAAATGCGAGCTGACCTGGTCGAATTGGTGCAACTGCTAAGGGAACAGGTGAGTCTACCGATTGCCTTGATTATTTTTGAGACGTTCATTTCAATCAGCGTAGGTGTGTTATGTGGAAGTATCAATGCTCCGGACGTCCAGACTGGGGCATTGTAATTGTGGAAGTTGATGGAAACATTCAGGCAGAGGAAGAAGCAGCAGCGCAGGCCGATAACGATTCTGAAATCTTCCCGGAAGGTTCTTCAGCAGACACTTCATTGAACACTAGTTTGCCTGATGGCTTCGGTTCGTTTTCACTTCTAAAAAGCTTTTAATTGAATTCTCTCGTAAGCCGTCCATGTTATAATTCAGACGAGTTTATTGGTATGCGGTGCATGGCGCCATATCCAAGTGCAAATCTTCATGTATCTCATCATGCAGCTGTCATTTTAGAGGTTCTACATCCAGATCCGGTCAATGGTCTGCAGGTATGTCAGCTTTCATATGGAACGGCTAACTTTCTATGTTTCCGTGATAGTAATAATGGTATAATGGGCCGTATTAAAAACGATTTATGCACAGTAACCCTCTGAAGGAAAGCGTTCCATTCAGGCACGGGTTCTGTACAGTCACCCTATGGTGAACGGCATGCGGCCATGTTCACATTTCCTTGCTGGAACGTGTCGATTTGATGAGAAGTGCAAGTTCAGTCATGGAGAGATTGTTCCCATGGCTGAGTTGAATGAATACAAGGAGCCAAATTTTAGGTAAGCCCTCACTGGTGTCTATCAAAGCCTCTCTCGTTTCCTTTTCACCTAGTAATGCGTCTTATTCAGCACGTTAACAGTTGGAAGTCTTGTTCTGGTTTCCACATCAGTATCACCTCCCTTGTGGGAGATCGGCCGTCTCATGGCCATTGACCATGGCGAGGTTGCGGTGAAAATTTTGAAGACTAACAGCGAAGTTTCTTCAAAGATGGACCACATAGTGCCGCTAGATGGCGAAGTTGAAGGTTGTTTTTTTGTTCTCACTTGATTTTACAGAAATAGTATCTCATTTATTTATAGATATAAGCGAAGATTCATTTCATCCACCTGCCCCTCTTGAATACTCGAATGACGAGAATGAGAAAAACGAGTCATGGAAAGAGCAGAAAGGATCACGATGTGGTAATGTAACCGTCGGCAATCTTGGAGATTGGCATGGTGGTGGTTTCGGATTGAAACTAATGCAGAAAATGGGCTACAAGCTCGGCGAGGTAATAGAAAAGGCATTTTTCCATATATTTATTGAGCTCTATTGCACTCCAATCCGTAGAGTGACTGGACCCCTAATTTACAAGCAGTTCGAACCGGCAGTATTGTGTGGTTCTCCACTGGTTTTCTAGTTATATCAGCGCACCACCTCTCCCTTTGTTATCATGTTTTCATTCTTTTCATTGGTACCCTTTCCTTTTGTTCTGGTCTTATGTGTACTCTTCATTTTTCGCTCATTTTCAGGGACTTGGAAAAAATAACGATGGGATTGTCCATGCCATTCAAGCGAAGATCTGCCCCAAAAGTAAGCAATAATCAAGATTGGGCCTATGACTTTGTGAATTCGCTGCCTTTGTTTCGCTTTTTTAGATACTTCGGTTGATGGTGTCATGAACGCACGAAAGAAAGTAGTGGATGGTATGCAGAAAGTAAGTTCTCGTCCCGTATTGTTCTATCTTGTATTTTGGGGCTGTTCTTTCTTTACAACTTTACCTTCCATTATTTACATTTATACCTTTACTTATGGCCTGTTAGAGGTCTTACTTGGGTTCTTTTTTCACGTCGCTCAGCTCCGTCTTTTGCATGAGCAATACAGGTAAGAATGAAGGGGATTGAAACTAGTGATCCCTATGTACTGGGAAGTGGAATCCGTAGAATTTTATCGTATTAACGTTGACGATCAGGTGGATCTCCTCGAAGAGTTTTCAAAAAAAAATGATATCCTAGGTGAAATCACGAGTACGCGAAGAGATGAAGCACACTCATGATTCACTTGACGCCGACATATTCGCCTTTCTTAATCGTAAGCTCGAACAAGAGCCTGTGAAAACGGAGCAAGACGAAATCAAGGAAGACATTCGAAAGCTTGCTAGAAGTAGCAACAAGTGAATTTTTTTTNTTTTTTTTGTTTGTTTGATTGTACTTCGTTACGCAATTATTTTTCGATTTTCTGGACGTGAGCAATTATATGTATTGCTTCAGGTCTCTTGGGGTTCAAGGCATCGATCTTGAATGTGAGCTCAAACAATTACGTAGCAAAGAGAGGAAACTTCGAGAAGTAAGTTGGTTTACCGCTAACTTTTTCTTTTTTTTCAATGTAAAACAATTTATATATTAAATGGGATCATGTAGGCCTTACCTATTAATGGGGATTAGGTAGGTCCAAGCAGTTATTCATACAAGACTCACTATCTAAGGGTATCGCTCGGAATAAGCACGATAAACGCACGGTGGAGCGGATGAAAGTCCAATTGGCTGAATTAGAGAGAACAATCGAAAAAGTACAAGGAAAGCAGCAACGACTTCATAATGAAATCGGCGATCGTCAGAAGAAAAAGAAGAAAGACATTTTCTAAACGAAATTGGTACGAGTATAAATTGTTAGTTCATTTGCTTCCTTCCATCTGAAAGTTGTTATCAGTGCAAACGTTTACCTTTGAAAACCACTCCATATCGCTTTGACTCTGATTTTTCTCTGAGGCTTGTGTTTCTGATCTCTTGGCCACGGAAGGAGGCCAAACAACGGTTTCGCTTTGGACTCCTAGAAGAACCTGTTGTTGAGTAATTACAGCAAGAGGCCAAAAACAATCATTATACGGGAATAACTGAAACTTCTCATGAATCCCAGATCGGTCAGGAAAACCATTGAGAAATCCAACCTGTAGGATTTTCATAATGTTGTTCAAGTAGGACATAGAACCTTTCCTGAAGCCTTGGAGAGCTTCAACGTGCTTTTATTGAGTATGTAACTTCGCTCTTCCGTAGGTACTGGCACCATTATGAGCAGAAATTTGTCAAAGGTCAAGGATCGAAGGAATAGGGATCGAATTGTATGTAGCTTCAAGAGGTAATGGTGTAATGGGTAACCTATAAGAGCCATTGACTATGAAAACTATGATTATTCACTCAATATTTGCATTGAGAGCAGCTGTCCGAAACTTCAAATCAACACAATGTTGCCTTTACTCCGTATCCGTAATATTTTCGGTTCCCATCATCTTCCTCCTTTTTTATTTGAAATGTCCTTTTTGCAGTCGCGGCACTTCTAATGAATTTTTATTTTTTCCTCGATTTTCGAGCATTTTCGGTTCCAATTTTTTGGAAGCACCACAGTTGCATTGATCTGAAACTCTCTGTACGCACTGTTATTTATCGATATGAAATGAATCGTTCTAATATTCTCGACGAATGACAGGGACTCAGCACACTGTGGGTTGTTGCTGTCATGATAAATTCAAATGGCATAGCGACGACGTTGATCAGT